TCTAACTAGAATAATCACTGTGAAAAACCATATCATGTTGCTGCTGATCTGTTTCAATGTTGCTGCTGATCTGTTTCAATGTTGGTGTGTTCATGCGTGCACATCTGTTCACGGACTCGTTCATGTTTGTGCTGATGTTCAATGTTTTATGTTATTAGTGCTTAGTGTATATTTAGTTGATGTTTTTCTTAGTTCATATCTTAGATGTCATTACTGTTTTTCTTATACATTTTATTGTTGGATGTAACTGGGACCCTGTGTACATAATTTCGCTCCACCACATGTACCACATGAGGTGCGAATGACAATAAAGAAACTCTGACTCTGACTCTGACTCTGATCATAATTCAATTAATATCAATGTTACTCACTACCTGTGTGCAATAACCTGATACACAACTTGTGTAGTTTATGTTATGTGCAATATATATCGTGCATCAATGCCTATATTACCACCCTGAAATACTTATTCATACGAATTCATCCTCCTTTCACCGTTATATTCTACCATGTTGTTGTTTACGATTTATCTTTTGGACCTTGTAAATATATTTATTTTTCACTTTGTCGTACTTTATTATTCTGTACCTTATTGAATGTTTTAGTATTTCTTGTTTGTTCTTTTTTTTTAAAAATGAGTCGAATTGGTTCTTCTCATCCTGAACCTTGTAGCGTTAACCTGCAAATGGCAAATAAACAACATAACATAACATTATAACTTAACAAAATTAATCTTTATCTGTTGAATTAAGGCATTCGCTGTACATCTAAATTTTTGAACATTTTTATAAGTTGCTGACATAAAAAGTAGGTGATAGTGGAATTCTCATTCAGTGTGTAGGTTTGTTGGTCTGCTGGCAAAATATCTTGTGAATTCCTGCAAATATTTATCAAATACAAATATAAAATTATTAATAAAATCTGATAAAAGATTAATCATTGATCGTTTGTTGATTAACTTTTAGAGAGACAACCCAATTTAAGATGGCTGCTACAGCTAACTGACCTTAGAAAACACAAAAATGGCTCTAACTTAATCGCTTTTACAGATATCAATCTACAATTTAGTGGGGTGGCAACTAAAAATAATACCTTATACACTCTGAGAGTTAACAAATGATGTGGTATCTTTGTTTAAAATGTTGGTGTAGAATGGCAGTGGGCAATATGCATTTCTTCAATGAATGCTAGTGTAATTTTCAACAGCATTCTCATTCATAATACTTTGTTCAGACCAGAAAATTTCCCAGGAATCTCCACTGAGCTTTTATTATTATTATTATTATTTTGAGTAAAATAAAATATGTACCTCTTTATCCATACAAACACCACTATTTTCTTAATAAATGTGCAAAAATACATTCAAATTTATATAATAAAAGGTCTGTTACAACAACAAAAAAAGAAGAATACAAGTAAAAAAGATAACAAAGGGATCTGTTTATGAAATAAAGTTAAATTTCTTAAGAGGAGTTATTGTTTTTACAAGTTTCTGATTATTTAAATTAAGTTTTTCCACCGAGGTAATATATGTTGTTGTCAGTTTTTGTCAAAATATTTAATTAGGGAATTTTTTTCCACCTCATTTCATCTTGTGGACATAATATTTTGCCAGGATTATAATTAGATTTATTATATATAATTCATCTGAAGAAAAGGCTGAATTGTTAAAGATAAGCAATATTTGCAAATCCAACCAAAATATAACAGCATGAGAACATTCCACAAATAAATGTTCAATACTTTCGCCCTCACGCTGACACAAAGAACAGTTGTTGCTGACATTTGAAAAGAAGCGACAAATATTATCTTTGACTGGATAATATCTACGTAAAATCGTACATAAAAATTATTTGATCCTAATAATAAGCATATATTTATGAGGCAATAAGAAGATTGCACTTCACAGTTTTTTGCTTAAATAAGTCCATCAATGCTACATATGGGAGCAGATGATGTTTCTAAATGAGCTCTGATAAACCTTTGGTAGTAACCTTTCAATTAGTCCCTCGTTTATCGTAGGGGATCTGTACCCTGAAGACCTGCGATAAGTGAAAAACTGCGAAGTAGTACAAGTACTAAGTAGTTTTTTTTCTTCCATTTTTTTTTAGCCCTTCCCACACACTCTTCCATTATTCTAAACGTTTCTAAACGCTCTAAAAGAGCACAGAATGTCATGATTTCAGCTCCCTGCCTCTGCTGCTCTTTGCCACCTGCAAGCGCTCTTGGCCACGCCCACTTCTCCGTTCTGCACGCAGAACAGCTGATCAGCTGCAACAGGAAGTTTATCCTGCAGTAAGGGTTGCACAAAGGTGCAGCAGGTGCAAAATAATTTTAAACACGTTATTTTAAATAACAACTTCGTGCCCAGCGTGCGGCTCAGCCATCAATCAGCCAATTGTGTGTCATGTCCAATCTTATTTTGAAAAACCGCGACAGAGTGAATCCACTATAAACGAACCGCGAAGTAGCGAGGTAATATCCTCACCATGTGGCTTCTGTGGAAATAATTTGTTTAATCTTAGAACTTTTTCTTAGTGTTGAAGAACTTAGATCAAGAGATAATTTAAACAACAAAAGAAAAATATTCTGAGGTAAAAATTTTTTTTTTACATAAATCAATGAGCAAATCATTTTTATTTGATCACATTTTCAAACATTGAAACTGAAACACAAAATGAGTGTTTTCCCACCCAAAACAATTATAGGAATCAAAAGTAAAACTTCAAAATGTAAAGCTTTATATTATGCCAGTGAGGATGAAAAACAGATAACATGTTATGGATAGCAAAGATTGCGTAATTAAAGAACTCCACAGAGGGCTTGTCAGTGGCCTTTATCTGGGCCATGTTAGTTGTTTGTATTTGAACCAGCCCACCACCTGATGCCTTTGGCAATCATTGCTCCTCCAAGCACCAACACTGGTCGCACAGCCAGAGCTGCAGCTTCCTCTAACGTTACTGCAGAAGCAACTGCAGGGGCAGCAGTGACGGCTGCTCCAATCAAATAAGGGGTTGCAGAGTTCAGTGTGTCTCCAACCCCGCGCAACCACAGTTTTCTCTGGGCCTCTTTGTATAAGCTGCTGTCATAATAGCCACCATTTAACTGAACTGTTCTGTCTATGTTCTCAAAAAGATCAGCGACCTGAGTGCGATTTTCTACACATGTATTGTCAAACACAATGTATCCAGCTTTACAGTCACTGGTGAGCTTCCTCAAATTAGGACTTTTGTGCAAATAGCTCTCAATAGGTTCGTGGAGTTCATCTCCTCTGGTGAAAACAACTATTGTATACTTGGAGGCTTCCTCTCCAAAGTTTTCTGTGATCCACTGAACAGCATTCTTCTCCTCATCTGTGAAGCGAACATCCAGACGAATGACTAACAAGAAAATATGTGGTCCTGGGAGAGACAGCACGATACAGTTCTCTATTTCCTCTTTCAACTTTTTCTCTTCAGTCGATGTATCAAAGATCCCAGGGGTGTCAACAACACTCACAGTTCGTTCATCTAAGTGTCCAGTTTCTTTCCTGCATTTGTTTGTCACAGAAACTGGAGATATCTTTGAAGTAAAAGCTTCCCGTTTCAGGATGGTGTTCCCTGTCGCACTCTTTCCCGATCCAGTTTTTCCAAGCAGCACAATCCTCAGATCTTTTACAGCTGGAGAGCAGGAATCTGTGAGCAAAGGCAATCGTGCGTTTCATTTAAAGCCTCGAGGGTTAAGTAAACTCATCAAAGTATAAGTAACTGTACATAATATGCACTGACAAAGTTAAAAACACCAACCTGCAGCTGCGGTTAAAGGCATCTTTTTATACAGCAGATAGAAAGAGAACTAGAAAACAGACATCAAACCACCACAGAGGCAGAGCTGTATTTTTTTTCGTGTCATACTAGTTAAGCCCTCCTTCTTCCTGCATGTGCTTCTTTAAAAGGAGCATTATTTGAATTTCGTGTAAAACGAAACTCACAGTAAAATGATCAAAGTACAAACAAGCTCTGTTTGATATGGACACAACATTTTTTTTTTGTTTAACATTTACCACTGTGCTTACTTGAACATGGTGGAGCAATCTGAGTAACAGAATGAGAAACGAGGAAAAACAAGCAAAAATGAAAACCCTAGCATTCTGTGAAGGAATGCATGTCGCCCCTCTGCCATTCATGGCAGGGTTTTAATGTGAAATGGCAGCCAAAGCCACATCTTGTGAGATGTGTTAGTACTTAATATGTGTAAAGAATGCCACTCAGTTGCTACCATTAAAAAATTATAATTTATATGCATACATAAACACCCACTTCTTCCTTTCTAGGTTGTGGTGATCACTGGTGCCCATATTCATCAGTGACTGTGCGAGAGGCGGGGTACACCCTGGACAGATTGCAAGTCCATCAATTTAGGCAATTTAGAGTTACCAGTCAGCCTAACATGCATGTTTTTGGTCTGTGGGAGAAAACCCAAGTACCCGGAGAAAACCCACGCATGCACGGAGAGAACATGCAAACTCCACCCAGAAAGGTGCCAGTCAAGGATTTGATCTGGCGACCTTCTTGCTGAGAGGCAACAGCTCTACCAACTGCACCACTGTAGTATGGAAGACGTTTAAAAGCCACAGTGTCTTCTAAAGCAGTGGTGTAGTCTACGCGATTCATGTACGTACGGAGTACAGTAGTGCCTCGCTACTTCGCGGTTCGTGTGTTATATCGTAAAAATCATCATCATCGCAAAGGGTTATTTGTAATTACTTTGGAACTTCTATGTTCAGTTGTTGAAGTTTAATGAATCAAGAAGTGCATTTCTCTCCGTGCTGCGGAGCTGAAGCTGTGTGACATCCCTTTGATGTCATGCTGCACTTCTCTTCTCTACAATTTAAATTTAAATCCTGGAACATTTTAAATCAACAATCCATGCTGCATGGGTTGTTGATTTAAAATGTTGCAGAATTTAAATTTAAATTGTTTATTTAAGGAGGGAGATTGGGAGTAACAGGTGATGAGTGTGATTGCAGCCTGGTCCATGTCATGACAAAGTTTACTGAACTTGAACTGAACTTGAAGTTGGACTACTGGATCCCAACTTAACTGATTTCACTTATTGCGGGTGGGCGTGGTCCCAAACAACAGCGATAAACGAGGGACTACTGCAAACCCACTAGAAAAGCTTATGAATTTCAGTATACCCACTTCAATGATACATATCATAATGCATGTGTCATTAATACGTTTAATGGCAGTTAAATGCTTCCGTAACAATCTATCTGTATGCAACGCTTGTTTATTACATTTGCTTATTCCGTGAATTATTGTATAATTCTGTACTTACTTCTTAATACTTGAACATGTTTTGCTTTGATACTGTTTTATAAATTCTGTAACATGTTTTTAATACAAAGCCAACTGTTGTACAAAGTTTGTTGTTCATTTATTCAATATAAGCATCAGAGAAATTTGGAAATGTTTAATACACTTTAAAATCAAAATAAACTGACAATTACATTGTACTAACCAGTGTACTTTGGTTTCTAAGCACAGTATACCCACTACAAAAATGTAGACTATACCACTGGTTGGTTGTGGTGGCCATCTTGAATTTGGTTGACTCCGAAAGGTAATCAGTTATAGATGTGCATCCAGTGATTGCTTTCTGTTTAATAATAATAAAAAAAAATCATCCTTTGGTTCATGAGATGTTTTACTAACAGACAAGCAGAGTTGATTCCAGTAGTTAATGACAACATTTTAAAACACAGATCTCTTGTGCTCAGTCAGAGCTCAAGAGGAAAAGTTGTGGATCAAAGTGGGTGATAAAAGTAATCCTGTATGACTCTCCTTACTTTCTCCTTGCAGTCAGTCACAAATATAATTTTCTACTGCCATGAAGTATCTTTCAAACAGCTAAGTTCCCTCTTTCAATGCAAATTCAATGTCATAAAGCCAGTGTAGTCATGTCTCTGTCCCCATCTGGTGGTAATAATAATCTATCAAAAATATCCAAACAGTATCCAGTCCAGACGTGACAAATGCATGAACCAGTTTTTCTGCATCATTTTAGATAAGATGTTTCTAATTTTAGTGATATTACGCAGGTGGAAGGAGGCGGTTCTTGTAACTTTTTAATGTGGGGGATAAAAAACATGTCCTGAACAAAAATAACACCATGATTTTTAACGTTAGAGCTGGAGGCCAGATTAATGCCATCCAAGGAGGGAGAAAGACTGAAAATGTAATTCCTAAGATGCTCAGGTCCAAAAACTAAAACCCCAGTCATGTCTGTGTTCAAAAGCAGAAAGTTTATGGTCATCCAGGTTTTTATGGCTTTAAGCCATGCTTGTAGTCTAAGTAGATGATTGGATTCATTGGGTTTCATGGACAAATATAACTGTGTATCATCAGCATAACAATGAAAATTTATCCCATGCTGTTTAATAACTTTACCTAATTTTATTTTATTTATTAACTTGTATTTAACCAGGCAAATCCCATTGAGATCATAGATCTCTTTTGCAAGGGAGGCCTGGGCCTGAAGGCAGCATGTTTTTGGTCTGTGGGAGGAAACCCGAGTACCTGGAGAAAACCCACGCAAGCACGAGAAGAACATACAAATTCCACACAGAAAGATAAAATATAATTTGATAAAATAAAAACTTTTTAATTTAAACGCCATTCCTGCTAACTGTAGGAGCATGTTAGTACCTATATGCAGCTCCCAAGCCTCTAATTACTTCTCCATCTTTCATCCTTTGTCTCAGTCGACCCATTCCAACTGCATGAGACGAGAATATGTTACGTGTCTGCAACAAAGTGCTCTAGTGTCCTTGTGCTGTCATGAAATGACATTTCATGTTTTGCACAACTGTGCTGTGTATGTGTATTTAGTATGCAGTAGTACACGGTTTCCCACCCACACCACTCTGTATGGGACCTACTGAGACAAGCTCTCCAGTCACAACTGGAGAGACACCAGTTCTGTCATCATGTGGCCGCTCTGCGTCTAAAAGGCAACCAGGACTGAAAAGTAAGTTTGCTGAATACAAAGAAAATGAAAAGTGTTGTTTTGAAATATAATGTCTGAAGATGATTTTTTCTTTATTTACAGTCTATGTTGGAGACAACAAGCTTTCTGAAGAGAAAAGGAGAACCCAGCTGACATCAGATGACACCAGACATCCCACTGAATGACAAAGAATCTACTTTCTTAGTAACTGCTGAGTGAGAAAGACACAGAAAAGCTTGGTGACAGGATTTTTTACAGATCAAGACTCTGACGGTGAAAGTTTGTTCGTTTGTTCGGCGACAATGGCGTCAACAGGTCTCCAGCTGCTGGGCTTAGTGCTGGCTCTGCTGGGCTGGGCGTGTGGAGCACTGGTGTGTGCTTCTCCGCTGTGGCGTGTATCTGCCTTCGTAGGTGGAGAGCTGGTGATTGCACAGGTGCTGTGGGAGGGACTGTGGATGAACTGCCTCTCTCAGACCACAGGCCACATCCAGTGCAAGACCTATGACTCCACCTTGGCCCTGCCAACGTCTGCCCAAGCGGCTCGAGGCCTCACAATTATCTCTCTGCTTCTCTGTATTCTGGCTGTCATACTCGGGGTGTTGGGGGCCAAGTGCACTCACTGCATGGCGAATGGAGGCCAGACCTCCAAGGCTCGGCTCGCCAGGATAGCAGGGATCCTCTTCATTGTAGCTGGTCTCGCCTACCTGTTGCCCATCTGTTGGACCGCCTACGCCATAATCAGAGATTTCTACGATCCAAACGTTGCAGCGCCTCTAAAGAGAGAACTGGGGCCGGCGTTATACTTAGGCTGGGGGTCCAGCCTGCTGCTCCTTGTGGGGGGAGCTCTGCTGCATGTCGGCTCTTCTGCTCCAGGAGCAAGAGCGCTGCCTGTTTTTGGTGCAGCAGCAAAGGCCACCTCAGATACGGGGTCAGCAGGAGAGGTGAAGCAACAGGAAAAATCTTTTGTGTGAGCTCTTTTCATGAGGCATGCACGATATCAAAAATATCACAAGTTAATTATTTATTGACATAATCTATTGTTTGTATGCTAAATGTTTGGTTGCTTTGAATTAAGTGTGGATTTCATTACCTGTATTAATGGCAATCGTTTCAGAAGATTCAGTACACACTAAAATGTGTGGGTTTAAAACAACACAATTTGTCATCCGGTGCTGGGTCATATTTAATCTGAGTCAATCCTGGGTATTTTTAACTCAGCACAACTGGGTTATCAGTTTGACACCAACATACAGGATTAGTTTTGGTTTTTTTTCCAAATGTGCTGAAATTACTCATCTGTTGATTAAGAGCTAGTAAAAATATCAATTTGCTTTATTAGAAAATCACAACTTGGGTTATTGTTAGCTAGCTGGCACTAACCAAATGGACTCAGCCACTGCGTCAGCGGACACGCACAGCCATTGACCCAATTTGCTGAATAGGTTTGAAAACAGGTGAAATCCCAAAATATCCCCACAGACATGTCAAAGCAGGGTCCATGTCTGAATAATGCAGAATGCAGGCAGAAGCAGGGATTTAATGTGCTTTGATGGCCATGAAACGGACAAACACCCCTCAGCTCCCATCCATCTTTTGCCCCCTTTTACTCAGCCATGCACGTCCGCTGACCGATAATGGCTACAGGATGGGGCCGGGTCGGGTCAGATATTTTAGGCCCGAATGCAACTCTAATGCACAGTCACTTTGGATTCCTAAAGTAGCACTGATTGGTGATGGCTGACGCTAATAGTGGGCTTTGGATGGATCGCTGGCAGTAGTTCATCTGAAGCTTGACTGAACATTTCAACCGGCCGGTCAGCGATGGGTCAAATGGTCATGGTTGGTGATCCAAACTGTATGGCAAGCCATGTTGCCATAAAATTGGATCATCAGCCATGCACATCCACTGATGCAATCAAGCCTGCCACCAACCCGGCCTGCCCATCCAGGACATTACCATGGCCCGGCCTGGCCAGGCCTGAATTCGAGCCAGGCTGGGTTGGGCTTCGAACCCGATTTAGAAATGACAGCTCTACTGTGCAGCGCAAACTCAAGTTGCTTTTACCGCTTAACTTTTACGTTTTACATCCAGATATATTTTGACACGATATTTGGTCAGACCGACCCAGAATTTGAGTTATAAGAACCCAGCTATTTCTAGTGTGTATCAACTTCTCCCACCATTTTTTTTTTTTTTACTGTACTAACGCTTCAGTGTTGTTTCATTTTTAAGGTCACTTATGATAAATGTAAATGTATCCGAAGTTTTGATATGATCAAACATATGAAAGGGTTTCTAATATAAACAGTGTTACTTTAAGGGTTTTATGTTAAAGCAGGACTTGAAATAAACTGTAGGAGGAGTCTAGATGTTTTGATGCTCACTAATAAATTCAACTTACGTTTCTCAGATTCCAGTCTGCCTCTGCTTGTGTTTGTACGCGTGCTTGTCTGTGTGTGTGTGTGGGCGGTCTGTGTACAGAGGGCCAGTGTGCATTGTGCGTGTGTGGTGGCGTTTTCACTCAAAGTGAGAGTGGGCATTTGTGGCAGCGGTTGTTTATGTAGATTTTACACATTAGAAGGTTTTATTTTATTTTTAAAGCACATTTAAAATTATCTATGCTAGCCAAAATGCTATATGAAAAATAGTAAGGTAAACAAAAATAAAGCACTAGAAATCATAAAAACAAACAACTAACTAATAATAAGTTAAAATTTTGTCAATATAAATACATTTAAAAAAGCAAACAAACCAATAAATAAATAAAGAGAAGGAAAGTTCTTATTAAACTGCATATATTATTTAAAAAAAGCTTCTGTCACTGACATTCAGTTTAAGTCTTAATTCAATTAAATTCAGTTTATTTCTGCAGCTGCAAGTCACAAAAGAAGTTGTGTCAGGACTCTGAACAGAAACATTCATATACATAAAAAAGACAATCAGTAATAATTATTTATCTAAGGAAGCAGCAGATTGTGTTGAATCTTCACTTTGTCGCAGTCTCCCATCCTGCGCAAGCTCAAAGACATGAGATCCTGAAATAAAACAAATATTACTTTAAAAATCTTATTTTATTAGATTATCAACTATGATGAATTGGGAACATAAATACTTTATTAATGAAAAATTTAATTGAAAACATTTTAAGAAACATTTCTTCCCAGAGTTGAAAACAGTGCATCATATTAGACAACAAATTAAAATGATTACTTTATACTGTCGGCAGCACGGTGGCTCAGTTGGTAGAGCTGCTGCCTCTCAGTGAGAAGATCGTCGACTCAAATCCTGGCTGGGGGGCCTTTCTGGGTGGAGTTTGCATGTTCTCTCAGTGCATGCGTGGGTTTTCTCCAGTTTCCCCCCAGACCAAAAACATGCATGTTAGGCTGATTGGTAACTCTAAATTGTCCCTAGGTGTGAGTGAGAGAGTGAATGGTTGTTTGTCTCATTTGTCTCTATGTGTCCCTATGATGGACTGGAGACCTGTCCAGGGTGTCCCCCTCCCCTCACAAAGTGACTTCTGGATATGAGCACCCAAAAAGGAAGAAGCTGGTAAAATATGATAGATGGATGGAAGTATGTTGTCAACTGAGAGTATATTGCATAAATCAAACTGAAAAAAGACAAAGCCATTGAAAAATCTGTAAGGATCATTTGAGGATTGTTATAATGTTATTTGCTTTTTCATCTTTTTTGTCATTTCTAAGCACTTCTGAGGCTCATTTCCCTTCACTTCACAGTCTTAATTTAACCTTTTCTTGTATTTTCTCTTGCTCTGATGCTGCCGAGTCATATTCATGAGGTTAGAAATGTAAATTTCACAATATGTTTTAAGAAAATATGACTAGAATGACCTCAATTGGAGTTCCAATCAGCAGAATTAGTGATGGCAGATATTTTACACTTGGGGGCAGCAAACAGCAACTCACTAAATCATGATAGTGTGGCTCATTGATGAATAGTCAAATATGAATTTATCTTTAAAATTTAAAAAAGAGAGAAAAAGCTAACTTTAAAAATTTCTGCTTCTTGAATTTTATGTTATTTGTGTTATTCCTTTTTCAGTGAAAGAAATTAATGATTTTGAATCACAGCAAACTGCTTCTTCTTGCATTGAGTTTTATGCCAGAACCAAATAATGTACCAAACTTTAAGCAGTGGGTACAGTTTCACTGCATGCAAGTCATTTGTATTTATTGGATTTCAAACATGTCAGTACGCGCCTGTGTTTCTGAGCTGATGTAGAGTTTTACTGTTTGTAAAAAATAGACACAACAGTCAAATATTACTCTTTTTTTTAAACATTATAGCGATAAATGATTGAGCAAAGTTGCCCTGTAGTTTTTTTCTGTATATACCCCCAGATTTGATACATTTTGCATTTTAAAGACACAGGGCATTAAAACAATATGCTAAGCTTGGCATTATTTTGCACTATGCCAAAAACGGTCTCAGAAATGAACAACTTCAAATGTATTTTTCACTCTTATCTTATTTGTAGAGACTTCACATGAACTTGCAGCACTCTCAGCTGAAACACAACTCTGATTCAAGAGTAATCAGAAGTATTTACTATTTGTATCTCATTTAACTTTGCAGGAAATGCAGCTTAACATAAAGAGAGTTTATTTGTCATTCGCAGAGTATTCCAGGCTGTGGCATTAAATAACCTGTAGATCTGGAAAAGTCAGTCAAGCCTTTTCATAAATATGCCCCTTTCGTTTTTGAGATTGCTTATTTATTGATACGTACCAAAAAATAAGTTGGTTGTAAATAAACGGAAGATTCACAGATTAATTTTATTGAAACCAATGAATGTTAATGGGCTTTACTTCCATACTAAGCTGACTAATCACAAGGAAATTAAAGCAGATTTTGCACAATCTGTTCCTGTTTTCTTTAATTAAATTAAATTACGGTATTGCTCCATTAAAAAAAATGTACCTACTAGTACTATTTTATTCATAAAACACTTTAAAACAACCTCAGCTCAACAAAGTGTTGTACATGTCAAATCAAAGATAATTAAAACACACAAAAAAAGAAAATAAGAGACAATAAAGAAAAGGTAATTCATTCAACTTTTATTTATACAGGTTAGTCTCACTGAGCCACAAGGACTCAGTTACAACAGAGACCTGTTTAAGGTCAACAGGTCTCTGTGTGTTGAGGGGGCTCAACACACAGCCCTCAGGGCTATGTGTTGAGCCCCTTTCTGTTTACTCTGCTCACATATGACTGCACCTACCCATCCAGGCTCAAGTTTGCAGATGATACAGTGGTTGGATGCATCACAAACAATGATAAGTCCAGCTGCAGGCAGAGGTGTACCACATCTCCACATCCTACATGGAGATGTATGCAATAAAATCACCATCCATCCATCTATCCATCTATCCATCCATCCATCCATCTATCTATCCTTCCATCCATCCATCCATCCACCCACCCACCCATCCATCCATCCATCCATCCATCCATCCATCCATCCAAATCCATGTATGTATGTATGTATGTATGTGTGTATGTATGTATGTATATGTGTATGTATGTATGTATGTATGTATGTATGTATGTATGTATGTATGTATGTATGTATGTATGGAAAAACTGAAGGAAGAAGAAGTGCAGGAATTTAAAACTACTACTCTGTTAGACCAATAGCAGGTGCAGTGACATCCTCTGACATTTACAAACCCCATTTTGGTTCACTTGACCCTTTGGGTCAACTGAGGCCACTGGAGTCATTTTGACCCCAGGGCAGCAGGAGGAGAGTTAAGCTTTACGAGGAAACTATTTTCTACAGGAACTAGCAGTGACATTCTTCCACTGAGATACAACCTGCCATTTTTTAGGTTCCTTTCTTTTCTCATGCGAACCTTCCTCCTCTTAAAGGGACAGGCGGAGTTTCTACTGTTTCCCACACGTTACGAAGGGGGCGTGTCTCTTTAAATCCATACGACGGTGAGATAGGAGCGCGTGCGAGTTCGTTCTAAATTTCTGCTTCGTCATGCTACGTTTTCGACCTTCGACTCTCCCGGCTCCCGTACTGTAGGCAGCTCCTCGGTCCACGCTAACAATTGGCTCCTCTCCTCTGTGTTCGGAGCCACTTCTTGACTTTTTTTTCACGTCACGTCTCGAGCTTTCACGTTCTGTCACGCGCACGTTATGTGGCGCGAGAGTGCCCGTTTGATAGTTTGCTAGCGAAGATCAAAGTCCCCGCTCAGCGGCGCTCTCCTTATCGGAATGTTTGAAGATTAACGAGGATTTCCTCCGTGTCAGTCCCGCACACGCTTCTTTTCTCTTCTTCTTGTGACCGCTGCGGTGCAGGAAGAAGCTCCGGGGCCAGGAAGCTGACAAGAGACTGCAAGCCGGAACGGGAGGTGGGAGTAAAAACACCGACGGAAGCAGCGGTATCATCATGACGGAGAAGCGGATGTCGCGGTGGTATTTCGGGGGTTTGGCTTCCTGCGGAGCCGCCTGCTGCACGCATCCTCTGGATCTGATCAAGGTGAGGAGCACCCCGACGGTGTGTGGAGGAGCAGGGTCGCCAAATGACCCTTAAAATAAGGACTCTTTCCATACAGTTAAAATATATGTATTTATTTCAGTATTATCTTTAGAACCAGTTCACATCTGCCCCATGTGAGAATGATGAAATGACTAAAACTTATTGCAAGGAGAAATGTTGAACTCAAAATTGTACGTTGGTTAAGTTTTGTTATTTTGTAGTGTAAGTAAGTTAGACAACTTTAGTGAAATACACGCAAACCACAGAAATGGTACTTTTAACAGAGATGCTGAGCTGAAGGAGTTTTATAAAATGTGATGGAGCTAAAAACGAGCTGTTAAAGCTAAAAGTAGCAGAACACTAGCTAAAAAGTTAAAAGAAGAGAAACACTATCAAAAATCCAAAGGAAGCGAAGCAATACTAAAAGCTAAAGGAAGCTAAACACAAGCTGGTACTAAAAGAAGCAGAACATTAACTAAAAGCTAAACAGTAGCCAGAAACTAAAGAGCAGACCATTTTTTGCTAGAAGCTAAAAATGACTTAAATCCTAGCTAAAAGAACCAAAACATTAGCCGTTAGCTGAAAACAGCAGAATTGTAGCTTGAAGCTAAAATAAAATAAAAGCTGGCTAAAATGATCAAAAGCTTGAATGAACAAAATGCTAGCTAAAACCTGAAGTAGCAAAAAGCCATTTAAACTTAAAATAAGCAAGCTATTAGCTAAAAGGAGCAGAACACCTGCTCGAAACAAAAGGGACGAAATGCTACAAAACACACTCATAAACAGAAAAAAGGAGAACAACAGACGGAAAAACATTGTCATCCGTTATGTTGCTGGAGTATCAGAGAAATTCAGAAGGATTTTCAACAAACACAAGATCCCAGTACATTTCAAACCCAGCAGGACTCTCAGACAGAGGCTGGTCCACCCTAAGGACAGAACACCCATACACAAACAGAGTGGTGTAGTGTATGCGGTCCAGTGCAGCGAGGACTGTCCAGACCTCTACATTGGAGAAACTAAACAGCCTCTTCACAGACGCATGACTCAACACAGGAGAGCCACTTCATCAGGACAAGATTCAGCTGTTCACCTCAAAATGCTAGCTAGTGACAAAATGCTAGCTAAAAGTAGCCAAAAAACGCCAACTAAAAGCTCAAAGGAATGAAATCCTAGTCAAAATCTAAATGAAACAAGAGGCTATATAATAGCTAAAAGTAGCATAAAGTTAGCTAAAAGCTAAATTGAGCAAAACTGGCACGGATTCCTAACTTCCTTGATGATGTTCCTCTTCTACTAAGAGGATTTCGCATCTAAATGATATTCAAACGGTACCCCTCCACCTGCACCTCCCTGTCCAGTCAGTGTTCAACGCTAAGGCGTGCAGGTTCTAGCTGTGTTGGATAAAACAATGCACTCTGTCTTAGTGGGGGGGTGTAGAGGATAGAGAAGGTGAGCCTGGGATTGGAAGGTCGTCGACTCGACTTCCCTGATCGACAAAATCAAAATGTGGATGGGAAAGGTGAAGCACCCACACCTGTCTCCGCCCCTGTTTGCCCCACTCTGGGCCCTTGAGCAAGGCTCTTATCCCCCACCATCTGCTCCCTCGGGCACCCTAGATAGCAGCTCTCTGCTCCACACAGAAGGATGTGGTAGCTCGGTGGTCTGTGGCTGCATCAGGAAGGGCATCAGGCATAAAAACAATCGCCAAGTCTTCATGCGAGTTAGTTCGCTGTGGCAACCCCTGAGGAAGGGAACAGCCGAAAGAAGAAAAATATCCCGTCTTAACGACTTTAAGGCAGCAGGTTCAGCTGTGAGCGTATTATAGCGGTTGTAGTTTTAAGGAAGGTGTCGCTCATCTCCTATAGTTCATCTTTAATGTGGGGAATGTTCATGGCTGAGGAAATGTAGGCCACAGGTCAGCCTGGAGCTTCATGCGTAAAGCAAACCAGTAAGTCCACAACAGATAACAAAATCCTCCTTCACATTGTTGTTTTCTTGGGAAACTTTACCTCACGGCTGTAATTATAATAACTGCGCCCTAGGAAGTCATGTGGAGTCTTATTATGCAATTAAGCCAGACAAACCTTAGCCTGTAGTCAGATGGGGCCCTGAAGTGTTTCGAACCTGCTTTTACTTGTTGCAACATTATGTTGTTTTTAACATTAGTTCATTTATGATTTGTGAATGCATACTGTTTAAGAAGAAATGGGCCTAGAGTCTCCTTAGAACATGTGAACCCTCACCAAAACGTTTGCTTAGGTGAGGTTGTCCAACTAAAAGAAGTTTGACATCTTCAAACTGCAACATTATTTTTATGTACAAGCATTCATTTATTTATTTATTTTAACAAAATTAGGACCTCCATATAGGGGTTCTTGTCCATCTTTTGGCTAAAATATAATTAATAATTTAACATTTTCAGATTCCAGTTTTATACTTAATGAGCTCATTAGCCTTTTAAAATAAGCTTTTCATGCATTTGCTGACTCATCAGCAGCACTTCCTTCTCAGTTATGGATGGACCAACCAATCCTTAAAAAAATAACTATTTCAATTATTTTACTGCAACTTTTCTTGAGGCAGCAAGAGTTACAATAGATGAAAGAATTCAGAAAGTACACCATGATCTGTTTTGACCTGATAAGGAGGCATATTGTCACTTTTGTAGCAGAAGGTTCAAAGGTTTGTAACTCTAGAACGATGTATATTTCATGGAAAAAAGTAAATCTGTAAGTTGATCTTGATAGTAATAATAATACTTTATTTATAAAGCCCTTTAAAACAACCGCAGCTGCAACAAAGTGCTGTACATATAAAATCAAGAACATTTAAACACATAAAACCGTTTTTAAAACATTTTGGATCAATAAAAACAGTGCAGAGCAAATTCAGTCTGTGCTAAAAGCCAGGGAGTAAAAATGTGTTTTTTAAAAGAGTTTTAAACATGGACAGTGAATTAACCAGGCGTGGATATGCATAAAGAACTGCCGAGTCATGTTTCAGGATGCTTTCTTACAGATATTTAATACACCATCGGATACGTTGCTCGTTTGTCTTGGACTTATAATACCAACATTTGTTGCAAAAGAATAAACTGAATGACCAAAATATATTTCTTTTTGTCTTGAGAGGAATTCTTTATCAAATTCACTGAATTTTCTTGATGCAAATCTGTTTTTTTTCTGGCAGCGCTTTTCTTTTTCTTTCGGCTGCTCCCTTCTTCAGGGGTCGCCACAGCGAACTAACTCCAACCACCGATCTACCACAGCTCTCTGTGTGGAGCAGAGAGCTGCTATCTAGAGCGCCCGGGGGAGCAGGTGGTGGGGGTTAATCGCCTTGCTCAAGGGCCTAGAGTGGGGCAAACACGGGTGGAGACAGGTGTGGCTGCTTCACCTTTCCAACTCACATTTTGACGTTGTCGGTCCAGGGAGTTGAACCGGCGACACAGGCTCACCTTCCGTAACCTCTGCGCCACCGCTTCCCGCCAGCAGAAATGATATAACTAATTTAAAATAATACTTTAAGCGCAAAAAGAGCAAAAGTCCTGAATATATAAATAATGATAAATGTTTGAATCAGAGCTTTTGTTTGTCTTGTTTTTATAAACGGTTTGAATTTATAATATTGTTGTAGGAGAAATGCCGACGGCTCTTCTGTTGAAACTTAACAGCACTGGTAACAATTTCCATCTGATAATTGTTCACCTCAAACCCCAGATAAAACCTTCATATCTCAGCTGGCATTAATCTCCCACTAGCTTAGATAGCCAACAACTTTTACAACTTAGTTCTCACACAGGCTCATGCTTTGATTTTTGCGGCCTATGAAATTTATGCAAATATCAGTTTTTGTTCTTTAAGTTAAACGTATTTTTAAATTTTTTTTGTTCGTGAATTCATTTCACGTAATGTATGAAGGTGGAGAATTGGCGATGAGTCTAAATATACAACAGGGTACAAAAAGCTCAAAGTAAAGTCACACGCTGAAACTGAGTTTTTGTGGGACACCTTTTCTCATCAGCTTGTTAAAACATGTTCTTTAAGGCTACACCTATAAAGTTTGAAACCGATTTTTTTGTTTTTGCTTTGTCATCCTGACTTTTGCTTTCCATGTCTGTTTTTTTCTTTTTTTATTTGTAGTTCAGATAGCGTTATCTGGCCAAGCAGGCCTGCTTGGTCTTATCTTTTTAAAAGTGCAACATAATTCTTATTTATTTATTGTTATATATATATCATTACATTCAATATAATTGTTTTAAATCTTATTGCTACATCAGCTTTAGTGCACCACAGCTTCATTTGGAACTAAAACTCAAATTAGTTGCGCAGGAAAAATAATCCCATGAAAAGACAGGAAAGTCTTTTGAGGGCCACCTGCATCATGAAGGACCACACTCACCCAGCACACTCAATTTTTGCCTCGCTCTCTTCAGGAAGGAGGTTGAGGAGTGTAGTGAACTAGGCCTCGGGTCGAATCTGGCCTTGAGGGGCCTGCCTGGAACAAGAACTGTGTTTCATTGATTTGAGTCCAGAAACACAAGATCAAGTCCATCCAGAAGACTTTCCAAGTGTCCTGCACTGATCAATTGAAAGAACACTCTCTTTTTCTATTATCATTACTATTTTACAAATGTTTTGATAATCAAATTGTGTTTAGTTCAAACCATTTTCAAATGTTGAAGTGAACTACTCATTTTAAATCAACTGTGAAACAGTATTAGTGATTTTTATCCTCATTCAAAGTAGAAATCAGGTTAATGATGCATTGTCTGATTTTCTGTCTTCAATGAGCAAATTGTAAGTTGGTCAAAGGTCAAGTTTCGGTCAACTGCAAGTTTACTGAAAAAGAAATGTCATGTTTAACTTACAGAAAGATACTAGAGAATTGACTCCACGAAGTCTGGAATTTTCATAGCAATCTTCTGTCTGTTCTTAAACAATCTTAATCTTTTTCCTTGACTCTTAATAACCTCTTACATCACAAAAACACACCTCTGTTTTGGTCCATCGACCAATCAGAAAGTTCTCAAATGAACCGGAAGTGAGCTCTTTTAAAAGGTGCAACACTTCCTAGTTCAAAAAAGTTCTGCGGTTCTGAGAGCAGTTCCAGAGTTCAGAATGCTGGAATTCAGGATGCTGGAGGAAGTTCTGAAACTCAGCAGAGAACGGAGGAAGTTCTGAGGAGTTCAGGAGAACGCTGAGAGAATGCTGGAATGCAGCATGCTCAGGACATCTGCAACTAAGCTGACGAGAGAAGATCAGGGAATTATGAAATGTCTGTTCTGGGATGACCTCACGACTCCGAACGGTTCCCTACTATTCTTACGGAGACGCTGAAAAGTGGCTTGAAGTGGAACTTTACGCCGGAACTGAAATATCTTCAGAAAGGTAAAAAGTCGATCTTCAACTGCGAAGTGTACCGGGTTTAAGTTGGGCCCAGAAGGAGCGTGCTGTTCTGGTTTAAACAGACAAATTCCCTCACCCATCTCTCTCAACTTAAACTTCAATTTCCATCTTTAAAATTCTTCTTTTTGCTAGAAATCATTCCAGATATTTTTCATGAAATGTCTGTTGTGAAGCTTGAAGCAACGGAAAATCATGGCCGGATGATTTTCCTGTTTGTAAAGCTGATTGTTTTAACCTGTTGTTGTTGAAATCATTTGCCAAATTAATGTAAATGTGTGATGTTAAACTTTGATTCTGTAAATAAATGACGCATTCATTTGATGGGTCAAAGAAAATTAACGTCTCACGATACATTTTATTAAATTCAATGCACGACATTATTCAGTCCAGAAAAATGAAAGAATCCGTTTAATTTATGAATATATGACAGCATATGTTCATCTACATGAGCATGAAGTGTACAACCACTACACTGAGTAACAGCTTCTACCCTGAGGCTGTTGGACTCATGAATATCTAACCAGGATAATCACTGTGAAAAATTACATCATGTTGCTGCTGATCTGTTTCATTGTTGCTGCTGATCTGTTTCATTGTTGCTGTGTTGATGCGTGCTCATCTGCTCACACAGACTCATGTTCGTGCTGCTGTTGGACGTAATGCTTTTGAGTGGAATAATATGCATGTTCATATCATTATGACTTTGATTTTTAACTCATGATGCTTCACAGAAACACAAATATTAGTCCTTGTTTGTTTTATTTTTTCCTTTTCTAGAAGTCGGCTCAATTGAAGCCGTACTGGGCGACTGCGTTTTGAGAAATTAACGTCAGGACTGAAAAACAGAATCCTTTTAACTCTTGTACGTCTGACCATGTTTGACTTTATTGATCGATATGTATTTATAAACAGAACTTTAATGAAGGTTATTTTAACTGGGATGCAGTTAACATACTAAATAAAACATAATAGTTCCAGATAATAACTTGAGCTCTTGGCGGAATTTATAAACTATTAGATGTTTCAACAAAATCACGAACTAAACATGTAAACTTTGTCCTAATTTGAGATTAAATCAGATTATCAGAACTGACTGGGTTTAATGTTGGCAGAGACTGAACAGAAAAATAAATGCTTTAATAATTAGAAAGTTGAGCTGATTCATGCAAACTGTTGATCCAGATGTGTGGCACAGAAGAAGAGATTGGTTTGTGGGCTCACTGACTTTTGGTCTGACATCTTAACTGGAGCAGAGGGCAAAGGTCACAATGTGGACCTGCTGAGCCTGACCGACATCATCCACCCCCTCACACACATTGCAACATTTTGAGGCCTAACATGGCATTATTACAACAGACATTTTCCCATTTTTCTACTTATTTTACTCTTCAGGGCCTAATGAAAATCAATGTACAACCTTTTCTTGTGGTTGTGTATAAAAAAAAGTTAACGTTTTATAAACATTTGACAGAATTACAATCAATACATGTCATGTTTATTCAAGATTTAGCTTTAAAAAAAAATCTACAGAATACAGCCTTTTTAAATTTTTGCTTGTGTCTGTATATTTTTCCATTTTCTCCATCATTCAGCATTAATGGGTGGCGTTTTGAAAAATAATTTCTAATGCAAGATGATGTTTGCAGGTCCACCTGCAGACCCAGCAGGAGGTGAAGAGGAGGATGGTTGGGATGGCCATTCATGTGGTGAAGAATGATGGAGTGCTGGCTCTTTACAACGGCCTCTCTGCTTCTCTTTGTCGGCAGGTTTGTTTGTTTTTAATTTAAAATTTCCCCTAAACTGTTGCATACAGAATCATTTTACAAATACATCTGCGATAGACCCTGACTTTTATACATTGTAATTTATATATATATATATATATATATATATATATATATATATATATATATATATATATATATATATATATATATAATTATTACATTATAAATTGGGCTTCATGACTATAAATGTTGTAGCTGATTAAGTCTGACTGCAGTGAGGAGAAGAAGAAAAAAGGTTAATCAACAGCTCATAAGTGGATGATTTCTTTAATTTATCTAAACTCTCCTTCATAGATTGAAAATGGTGGATTTCAGCTTCTAAAAAGCACTCCTGGGCTTATAGGTTATTCTTTTAAAGTCTTGAATTTAGCAGTTTGACTTGCTGAGTTTGAAACGCAACATTTTGAGTGATGAGTGGACCTGACTAATACCTGGGACCACAGCTAATCATCACAGATACCTGCCTCCAGCTGCATACACTGGTTTATGTTTTATATTGAAACCCAAAGTGTCAAAAGGATCTTCACTCTGTGTTGAAGAAGACGTGAAACTGAGATTAATTCTTAAGGAAAAATATGAACTGGAAGATCAACGTTCATGTTCAATAATCCAGGTAAGCAGCTAGTAAAGTTGTCTGATCATCTGGACAGTTTCTTTTTTTGTTGTTGTGACGTTGCGTCCTTCATCCAAAGGACTTCATCAGTCCGAGGAGCTGCAACAAACTCAGTCCCACATGCAGCACACTCACATAGTGGACCAACCAGTTTGCTGGTGATAAGATGGTTTCTTTGATGATTTGAACCACTTTGGCTATGGCTGCCTCAGAGGGGTTGACTGGGGAGAGGGCAGGCCCCAGAAACCATCTTATCACCAGCAAACTGGTTGACCCACTATGTGAACATGATGCTTGTGGGACTGAGTATGCTGTGGCTCCTCGGACTGATGAAATCCTTTGGATTAAGGGCAAAACATCTCATCAAAACAAGAAATGTCCATATGACCTGACTGAACTTTGTTGGATTAACTGGAAGGGTCATTTTTATTGCTTTTACTCAAAAGGACTTATAGAAACAGAGTATGTGTCGCCGATTTCCATCAGCTAACGATAAGCACCCGTTCTGTGAAAAAGGTTCAGTATACCCAAAGTATTATTTGGCTATTTGATTTTTACAAACCTTACAGTTGAGATTAAGATGAATTCTGTTTCAACACTGATCATTAACTCTGTAAGTTAACATTGGTTCTGCTACAAAATGAGCAGCTGTGCTGGTTAATCACAAACACTGATATGAAGCATCAAATACTAATAAATAAACATGCGAAACATAAAAAAAAATATGCCCCACACTCGTGGTAAAACACTTGTTGCAGCAGCTGTTGTAGTTTAACTTCACTCTTCTTTCTAATTGAATAAAGTGTTCACAAAGTTGTGATCAAATACACAATTTACTCTTGTCTCGCTTCAGATGTCCTACTCCCTCACCAGATTTGCCATCTATGAGACGGTGAGGGACATGACGGGCAGTAAAAGCCAGGGCCCAATGCCATTTTACCAGAAGGTCCTGCTGGGAGCCTTTGGCGGTAGGAACAAACACGTTTTCTTTATTTTTCTCCTTCAAACACACATTTGTTTACATTTAGTGTCATTGATTAAAGAGTTTTTACCAGAAAGATTTATCTTCGGACAGGATTCACTGGAGGGTTTGTTGGGACGCCAGCTGACTTGGTAAATGTCAGGTAATGTACCCCAAATACAGTTTATCGTTTTACTCGGCTACACTGATAATATAATGAGATCGGAAATGTTTTATTTTTCTCCTAGAATGCAGAATGACATGAAGCTTCCACTAGAGCAGAGAAGAAAGTGAGTGGCGTTTATGAAAATATGTTCACGTCACATGCATTAAGAGCTCTCACTGAATTTGTGCTTCTCTTCCAGCTACAAACACGCCGTTGATGGACTCTACAGAGTCTTCAGAGAAGGTAAACGAGCACGACCATATCAGGTTTTAACTCTGTTTACGCACCGTGTTTGAACACTGATCTTTATCCTTTAATGCAGAGGGCGTGAGAAAACTTTTCTCAGGAGCTTCCATGGCCTCCAGCAGAGGAGCGATGGTCACTGTGGGGCAGGCAAGTCACATCTCTCAAACCCACTCCAGATGTTCCTTAGTTATACCTGTAGGACAGAGCTCTGCAACCTTTATGATCAAAAGAGCCATTTCTTCCCTTTGCACACTAAATAAAATATCTATGGAGCTGCATGATGATCAACTGGTGGCCCATGGCCCACTTCAAGCTTGTTGGAGGGGCTTTTCCAGCCAGTAGGTGTGATATTATAAAACAAAAATATCAAATTATTATTATTTAGTGATATTTTTATATTTTAGGGCAAAAGAAAAGACTGGATTTATGTAAAGAAGAAAAAAAAAATAATAATATTTTTTGACCAATTTTATAAAAATTCAAGTATGTTGTGCAAGTTTTTTTGTAAGTGTGGAAACGATTCATAAGTAATAAAGCACAAAGTTAAAAATGAGGCCAGTTTGTTGGATATGTATTTGAATTGGGGACTTCCCAGTATAAGGCAGCGCCCATTATTATCCACCTAACGAAGGGTTTCTTAACTTTATATCTTACTCTTTCCTAAACTTTAATGCGGCCGGAACCACAACGTTTACCCCCACAAATTTTTATATCAAAACAACTGGCTCGGTGCCGTGATGTGTGCTATTACTTTTATTGGCGTTTCGAGTTACCATGGCGACGTAATTTGCAAACACATATGCCATTTTCTTCATACAAACATGTGACAGAACACTTGTCACACTAAGCTACTTTTAAATGGCTTTAACTCGGCTGTTTTTACACATTTAGAGCTGGAATTTGGCGAGGTTATATCTGAGAACGTTCCCCATCACATACTGAATCCAATTCAAAACATCCAAGATGGCCACCTTAGCTAAATGGACAAAAAAGACTATAATGTGTTGATTTTTTTTTGCCATATTGAGCTGAAATTTGGTATAGTGGTAGATGAGAGTGAGCCCCAACACAGTACTGTCAAATCAAACCTTTAAATAGGCAGCAGTGTGACAGTCCCCATCAACGTTTCTCCAGGAACTTTCTAGTTTTTTATTATTCTCCAGCTAGAGGGACCAAAGGGCTACATGTGCTCCAGAGCCGCAGGTTGCAGACCCCAGCGCTAGGAGATACCTGCGGCTAAACATGTTGTAGTTTTTGCTGTTGAGCCAGAATATTTCAGAACACCTTGTGTAATATAAATTTAAGTCTTAAAACCTTGGTGGAATCACTCTTTAACTCTAAAAGAGGTTTTATTCTCTTATTATTAAAAAAAAAAGATGAAATTGAACAACCGTTACGTAGCATTTGTTTGACATATCCTTCAGTTGTAACGCTAGGGGGCGCCAAATATCACTACATTCAACACTTCCTAGGATAATTTTTTTCTGTCTATATTACTTTTATGAAAACTACAAAACTCGCAAAATTTGTTTAATTGACAGCTGGAATTTTCAGTTACCACTAAAAATGTGCACAGTTAGTTTACCGAAGAAAATCCAAACATCTGAGTCATGATTTTACCTGTGCAGTCTGGATAAAAACAAGGATCACTGTTCATTTGTTCTCGATTGCTTAAAACTGCTTCTTATTTTATTGTTTTTATATCTTTCTTCTACAGTTGGCGTGTTACGACCAGGCCAAGCAGCTCGTATTAGGAACGGGCATGATGGGAGATAACATACTGACGCACTTTCTTTCCAGCTTCATAGCTGTGAGTGTTTTTTATTCGTCTTCTGAGTCGGTCAGGTTTACAGAGTGAATTTTTCACTGATCCCAGCTTGTGCTCTGCAGGGAGGCTGTGCCACATTCCTGTGTCAACCTCTGGATGTGCTGAAGACACGACTGATGAACTCAAAAGGAGAGTACACGGTGAGCTGAGCCTTCTGTGTTTTTGTTCTTCTGATTCTTTCACTTTCGGGTTCCGAGACAAACAGGGAAAGTCTAGAATGGGCTTTGAGTTTGTTCCAGATCTTGTAAAATATGGAAAAAAGAAAATAGACAATGAAAAAACACGTTGCCAGTTTTGATGTCTTCTCTAAAGATAAAATTCAGATTTTCTGTAAAAAAAACAAAAAACAAAAAAAAAATCAAACAGAATACAGTTTTTAAGATTTATTATATTAAACATTTGTACAATGAGCATTGTGCAAATGTTTTGAACCAGCCCTAATTTTTTTGGTGAAGATTCTCAGTCATCCAGGTCATGATCAATCCCAAAAAAAATAGTTTTAAAATAAAAACAACTGGACTTCTATTTTAAGGCTGATGACATCTCGCTTCCCATATCTGGAGTGTGTGGAGTTCCAAGCTTTATAGACCTCCATGAGAGACCTGGTTGTGTACTTAGCTGTAGACTAGACAGGAAGTACTCTCCCCTCACAGTGGAGGCTCGTTAGGTTCTTTGTCTGCCGTGCTCATGAGAGATGTTTTGGTCACCTGCATGAAGGAGTGAACTGGAGTGGAGCTGAATGGAAATCAGGCATTGTAAGTTTTGAAAGTTGAAATCTGAGACCACCTCTGTTTAAATTTGTTTTTCTCGTTTGACCTCAATGGCTTCCTTCACTCCACCCTCAAACCATCTTCTCTTCTCTGTCTAAAATATGAACATTTCAAAATGATCCAAAGTTGATTACACATCTGGAAACTAAAGTCTGGATATCTCTGTCGGGAAGCGCGTGTCATTTGCTTCTGTTTCTGCTTCTCCATTTCTCAGTTTTTACTTTGAGTGCTCTTCTGTTCTCAGGGGGTGATGCATTGCTTACGGGAAACTGCCAGCCTGGGTCCACTGGCATTTTATAAGGTAAAAACAACAACGTTAGCTGTGGAGCATTTAGAAAGAAGACACCTGCTCCAAATGAAACTCGTCACTCTTTGGAGGCTGGAGCAACTAATGATAATGGACATTCTTCCCTTTATGTTTATTTGAGTCTGAAAACGGGCAGGGTGTAGAATACCAGCACAACAACAGGCTAGAAGAAAGCATCTTACCTGCTGCAGAACAGCAGAGATATTGACATTTTTATAACCACACCTGGAGGATCTCCGTTAGTTTTGTTTTGCTTTATGCGTTTAGTTTAAAAAAGAAAGTGTAAACATTAATCAAATGTTTGTTTTTGTTTCCCCTCAGGGTCTTGTTCCAGCAGGGATCCGCTTGATTCCTCACACAGTGCTCACCTTTATTTTCCTCGAGCAGCTCAAGAAATACTTTGGCATTCGCATCATCTCCTGAGCCGTTCATCGCCGCTGCTCGTCACATCGCTCCTTCATCATCCCGCTCCTCATCATCCCGCTCCTCATCATTTACAAGAGAAGAAGAGAAGGAAGGAGACATGAACGGTTCGTTGTCCTCCGTCTGCTTCTTTTTTCTACCTCCGTCTTACAGGTGGAAGTTTTATGATTAGAATTCAAGAGGAGCAACTTTTTTTAAAAAGTATAATCATTTAAAAACTACACTAATGTAAAGGTACTGTAATGGGGTTATAATAATAATAATAATAATAGAGTATTAAAATAAGGTTTGCTGTGATTTGATTCTGCTATGATGTAAAAACAATCTTTAAACTTGAACTAATTCCGTGTTATAATTTAATGGTTTGTTTTCTAATCTCACCTAAAGCCTGATTTGATGGTGTGTGGTGCCTTCAGGTTCACGCTATGTTAGAAATAAAAGAAAACTGTAGTTTTTCTTTAACTAGTTCTTTAAAACTGTTATTGTTGTTCATTCAGGGGAGTGATCAGCAGCAGTTACAAGTATCCACCTGACCAAACTAACATTCTTGACTTAAAACAAGCTGGGATGTGTTGACTCGTTAAATATTTACGCTCGTAGTGACCAAACGTGTTGCAGTCTTCACATCAAGTTATTGTTCCACGTTTATTCAACTTGATTGTTTTTAGAGCTCAAAATCAACTAGTAATGGGTGGAAATCTTTAATAATTTTTCTTAATTTTTTTAATCTTAATCTTAATAAAACTTCTTTCTTTCATTCCACTGTCCCTGTGTTTTGCCACATCTGGAAGGGAATGTGGGGCAGAGCTCGTTTGTGCTGCGTTTTCATTTGTAACCAAAAAACGAAAGCCGGCTGCTGGAATCATTTTATGTTCTCCCATAAAAATCTGAATGCATTGAACTCCTGAGACGTCAGTTTTGAATTGTGCAAAGAACTACTGTACAACACCAGGGCTGCATTTCCACGTGGAGTGTGAGTTTTGGGGCTAGTTGAACATAGACTTGATAACTCAGGATGTCCTGTTTTATAAAACACTTCAAGTGATGCTGACCGCTCTGGTGCACGGAAACTCTTGCTGCATGTTGTGAATTTAAATGATTTTAAAGTAAAATGTGAATGAGGATATTATATCTTTGGAATATGTCTTATTTGGTGTTGATGTACTTCAAAGACCGCTCCGTTCATGGACGTGTAAACTCATGTTGCCTTACAGTATCCCTCCTGCAGGGGGCAGTGTTGTAACATCTTAAATATGTTTTATGCCTCTGGAATTTTGGAAATAAAGATACCTCTTATTGACTTGTTTTACGCTCATCGATTAAACTGTACGTTGACAGCTATAGGTCAGTAAATTAAAATTTTGTACATCTTTGATAATTTTGGAAATAAAGTGATGATTGAAACTGTGAATTTTAGTCTTTCCGAATTATTTAACAGACTTTTACTTGGGAAGTAAATAAGTCTTGTATAAATCACACCACATTTTTAAATCAATTGATCTTTAAAAGTCATTCGTTGACACTTACGGTTGAAGAATGTATATTCTTGTTGAGTAGACCGATCTTTGTTTTTCTGCGTTTCACTGCCACAGTCTCGCACGACTCGGCTGATGTGATTGTGAGTCAGACTTCACCTTCAGGGATCTGGCCTCATCAGAACAAGGACACAATTTAATGCGTTCACATCTACCAACTTCAGACCAGTGGTTTTATTTTTTATTTTTTTGTAGAACACTGGCCTCTATGGTTTAATTAGTGATATTCAGGTGTAATGATGAATGAAAGCTGGGTCTCTGACCAGATGAACATATCTGCCCTTTCAGTTATTGATGTAATTCATCATGTTAGTGGCTATGACCCTTCACCTTCATCATCACATTTACGTGTGTGTGTGTGACAGTTCACCTCCACGTGCACCCTTCTCATATTTATCACAGCCAGCCAGAATAATTAAGCAAATGTGCTGCAGGTTAAAGCAGATCTCCTTCATGTTCCTCAAATGTTTCAAGCACAGTCCTGACCCACTAAACAATCTGGGTTTGTTGACCTTGTTTACAAGTTTACGGACTACAGTATAGTCTCAGTCTTATCAGTTACCTCTGATCAGAAAACCAAAGCACTTTGGTAGTGTTTCCTTTAGGAATTGCCACAGTGGGTCATCCTATCACTTCTCTACGTCGAGAGGAGCCAGTTGAGGTGGCTCGGGCATCTGGTTAGGATGCCTCCTGGACGCCTCCCTGGTGAGGTGTTCCAGACACGTCCCACCAGGAGGAGACCCAGAGGAAGACCAGGACATGCTGGAGGGACTATGTTTCTCAACTGGTCTGGGAACGCCTTGGGTTTCCCCCAGAGGAGCTGGCCCAAGTGACTGGGGAGATGGAAGTCTGGGCCTCCCTACTTCGTCTGCTACCCCTGCGACCCGACCCCGGATAAGTGGAAGAAAATGGATGGATGGATCAACCTATCACTAGCATCATCCTTTCTTCTTCTTCACGGCATCCTTCAACCATCTCTGTGGCCTTCCGTTCTAGTACAGTTGGACACATGTTCGTCTTCAGAACTGTCTTAAGTTTTTGCAGCATAGATTCAACAAGGTGTTTGAAATTCTCCTTTGAGATTTTGATCCATGTTGCCATGATGGCATCATACTATTCCTACAGATTCTTCAGCTGCATGCTCATGATGCTAATCTCCTGGTCCGCCATGTCCCAAAGGGGGACAGTCAGATTAAGTTCTAGTGGCTGTGGAGGCTGTTGGAGACCGGTGATTCAAGACCCAACAGAGCAGGCAATGTTTTCCAGTCTCTTCGTATCCAGGTTTGGTGAGCATGTGTAAATTGTAGTCTTGGTTTTGTTCTTAGCTGGCCGAGTGTAATCTTCTACTGCTACAGCCCATCTGTTTCAAGGCTGGACAGAGATAGTATTATGTGGACATTGGCTTTAACAAGTTATTTGAGCCACTGTTACCTTTCTATCATTCTTGACCAGTGGGACAAAGCACGTTAGTCCACAACTGTTTTTCAGACCTTTCTCTGTAAACCCTACAGATAGTTGCAAAAATTGTTAAATCATGTCATCTGGACCTATTTCTTTACATGAAGAAATGTTTCGTTCCCCATCCAGAGGACTTTGTCAGTCTGCAGCCTGACAACCAGATCTGTCCCATAGGTAGCCTTCATTACTGTGTTTCAAGCCAATCTCCTGTTGGAATCTCAGAAGTAGGTTTTTAAGACGTGCAAACAGAGCACACCCATCCGAAACCATCGATCATCATTAACAACAATCAAGTGGTTTAGGCCAGGTGGCCAACATGCTTCTCACAGAAACAGCCTGTGGACAACCGAGGCCAAAGTGGTTCAGATAGAAGTTTTGTAAGCTCGATCATCCAGTCTTGAAACACAGCAATGAAGGCTACATATGGGACAGATCTGGTTGGCAGACCGCAGACTGACGAAGTCCTCTGGATTGGGAATGAAACGTTTCTTCACTTAAAGAAACGGGTCCAGATGACATGATTTAACCATTTTTGTTGTCCTGGATGATTGAGCTTACAAAACTTTGTTTCCTACAGATATTTGTGTATGGAAATCCCAGTAGATACTCAACCCTATCCAGTCTGGCATCCCCAACCCCAAAAAAGCCATCTTCAAAGTCTTCCACTTTTCTTCCTTGTTTTTGATGCTTGATTCAATCAAGTTGCCTTCACTGTGTTCAGATGCCTAAATTAACCTTGATTGTCTGATTAGTTATTTGTGTTAAGCAGTTGAACAGGTGGACCTAATAAAGTGGCCGGAAAGTGTATCCAGTACCCACATCCCCTCTTCTGCATGCCCAGCTTAGCCTTGCCTTTCTGATTTTGGTCTTCAACTCACTCAACCTGAGCTGTTCCTCTCATGTTCTCACTTCTAATCCTTTTGGGCCACTCCAAATGAAAATCTAAACATACTCAGCTCTGCCTTACGTCTTTTTGTTACAACCAACGTCTCCAACCCATGCATCATGGCAGCTCTCACTATTAAACTCACTCTTGCGGCTACCTTTCTGTCACAACTCCCCCCCCCCCCGCCCCTTCCTTCTTCACCCCCCCCCCCCCCCCCCCCCCCCGTTACACCTTCATTGTCTCCACCCGGCCTTAACTCACTTTCTCATCCGGTGCCTGTTGCTTTTGATGGTTGACCTCGGTATTTAAACTCATCCACCTTGAATAACTCTACTCCTTTTAGCCTCACTGTTTCACCTGACTTCCTCTCATTCACACACAATTTCTACCATACCATACCACTTTATTTATAAAGCACTTAAAACAGCGACAAGCCCAACCAAATTTCTGTCTTTTTAATTCAATTCAGTTTATTTATATAACGCCAAAAGTCTAAGGAACTTCTAAGGAAATCAATATTTTGTCTACTGACGGTAACATTTTACAATAAGGTACACAACATTTGATTAACTACTAGGGAACGCTTCAGGAACAAATCAGAATTTAATGGGTAGTTAACCAGTACTTATTGGGAAACACACAGCCAAGTCAAGGGACTACTGGTTAGTTACCTTGTAAATGAAGAGGAGCTAATCAAGAACTAATGGGTAGTTACCAAAGAAACCAAAGAGGAACGAATCAGGAGTTAATGGGCAGTTAACAAGTACTTACTGGGAAGCACACAGCCAAGGCTAATTAAGGGACTACTGGTTTGTTACCATTGGAACAAACCAGTAGGTAATGGTCAGATAAGGATTAAGTAATGACTGTTCCTCAGTAAGTACTTGGTATGAGTACATCAGTGAACAAAGTAATAGCCAGGCAATAATTTGGTACTGGATAGTCAGACATACAGTAGTTAAGATGACACCAGTACAAGACTATGAAATTGATAATGTCTTTCATCAATATAGTTACAAAAGAGAAAATCCAGTAAAACCAGTAACCACTATGAAACAGGTTTTTGACAATTACGAGCTGTGACCTCACTGGTGCAGGGTTTATTCAGAACCCACATGGAGAATTTCTCCTCTTTTTCTGTGGTAACAAACCAGTAGTCCCACAAAAAGGCTTGGCTGTGTGTTTCCCTGTAAGTACTGGT